CGTCATACATATACTTTTGGATATTTCAGCTTTTGTTAATGACTGACATACAGTGACCCCTTCTTTCAATTTTCTATTATTAATACAAAAGTAATCAAATGTATAAAAGTAAAATACTTCTAAAATCAACTATCATGTTTAATGTATTTTGTAATCAGGTCGTGATTTTTTCAGTTCTAATTTTAATTTGTTCTGTACTTTCTCTTTAATGGGGGAGGGGGTGAGCTTCTAAGTCTTCCTCTTCAATAGAGTGAGCTATTTGTGCAATAAAGTGAGCTATTTGCTTCTATTTAGCAGAGCTGGATGGGGTATATCTCTGCATTTGATTGGTTGGTTTTTAAGAGATTACTCCTCTGGAAAGACACTGTCTCATGTCGTATTGCTAGCAGCGTAGTCTTAACTGTGGTTAAACTTTTAAATTGAAGATGAACACTTACCATCAAAGAGAACACAAACTTAGGGAATCCTATGTTACATAGATCATACACACTATATTTACCTGTTTTGATAAGAGCTCTGTTTGAATACAACCTTAAATACCATATCCATAAATAACAACTGACTCAACGGCATAAATAGGCAATTTGGGGTTCCTCATGTATTACAAAGAAGCCAATAAAACTCAAAAAAGGATAAATTTCCAACTATACAAACAGGCTTCAATAAGATTAACAAAATCTAAGGATGACAGCTAAGTCAACAATTGAAATAAATTATATGATTTATACCCAGATAAAATAAAACGATGACTTTTATGTCGCCTTTCTCACCTATTCAGAGTAAACATCAGATTTCAAATTCCATTTATCACTTTATCTGAAAGAATTTACTGAGTAAAATCCTTAGTTGCAGGGCTTTACGCTTGTGATCCATCAGGTTGCAATATTTAAGTTACTACAGCTTCTTCCCCAGTGTAAACATTCTATGTGTTTTATTTACATTGTCACTTTTTATTCCCTCCTCAACTTTATACGTCTAAGAATGGAACTGTATTGGTATTATGTAACATTATTTTAAACTTTGCAACTTACATACTTATTTCCCCTTTGAACTCATGTTCCTGAAAAATAAACACCGTGTAGCCAGAAAGAGAATACTACCTTGAGGTGTGTGGGGATGAGTGGAGACATGGAAACAGACACTAAAATACAGTCGTGTGGAAAGGCAAAGTAAGGACGTATCTGTCCTTGTTGACAACAATCCTCGTGGTTCATGAACAGCTACAGGCAGCCAACTTAGTGCCACAAGTCGGTAACGCAGTGGGCATCGAGGCTTTAAGGTCTCTTAAAACTTAGTGGGATTCAAAAGTACCCAAGGCAAGCACGCCGAAAAACCTGGAGAAAGTGCTCCAGTTAGAGCCTCCTTGGCAACCCGAATAGAACCAAATGACTCAGGTGGACGATTAGAATCAAGTGTGCGCCGTCCTCTTTCACTAGGTCTATAAAGCCCACAAATTATGTGTGGTCCAGAAAACCAGGAGTTACGAGCACCCTCCTTTTACACCTTTTAATATTCTATACATCCAGCAACCGATCTTCATCCACGATCTTCATTCATTTATTGCCTACACAAGATCTGGGGTGTCTCCCGGGGATCACTTCTTCCAAGCTGACCTGACGTGACAGCAAACCGAAAAGCCTCTTCGTAGCAAGGGTCGCGACCGCGCCTAAGTCATCCAGAAGTGGAAGCACCTTGCTTTTACGTATTGACTTATGCATTCGAGGGTGGCGATGGCGGCCACCTGACCCGGACACGGCCGCAGGGGAAGGGGCGCGCGGGCAGGGCGGCCGCGGCGAGGGGGCCGGGGGCAGCCCCGCTCCGCAGCGCGACCCGCCGGACCCGGGACCCGACGAGCCCCTCCCCGCACGGCACCCTCACCCCTCCCCTCCTTCCAGGCCTTTCATCCGCCCTCCCGCCCGGCAGCCCGCGGCCCCCCGGACCTCAGGCCTCCCGCCTCCTTCCGCCACCCCGTCGCGCCGCCCCGCGAAGCCCTCGGCCGGGCGGGGACCCCGACCCGACCCCTCCGGCCGCGCCCCTCCCCCTCGCGGAACGCACCTGCGGCCCCGCCCCCGGCCGAACGCTGAGGCGGCGGCGGGCTGGCGAGGCCGGGCGCCCTGGCCCTCGAGGCACAGTCACCTTCCCTTCCCCCGCCATTCCGCCCACCCCCCTCACTCAGCCACAGAGCAGCCGCCGCGCTCCTCAGCCGCCCCGAAATCTGAAGGGGTCCGTCTCCGGCACCACAACCAAATGGCCGAGCCTCCCTGGCCGGCTGCGCAGCCCGCCCATTGGTCCCTTCCCCCCCCGCCGCCGCTGCCATTGGCTGTTGCCCGGAGACCCTCGGTGCCGATTGGCTCTAGCTGCTGCCGCTCGCCCGCGAGGCCGCAGATCCCGCCTCCACGGCGATCAGGTTAGTGTGCGCCGCGGGTGCTGGGGGCTCGAGAACCGAGCGGAGCTGGTTGAGCCTTCAAAGTCCTAAAACGCGCGGCCGTGGGTTCGGGGTTTATTGATTGAATTCCGCCGGCGCGGGAGCCTCTGCAGAGAGAGAGCGCGAGACATGGAGATGGGCAGACGGATTCATTTAGAGCTGCGGAACAGGACGCCCTCTGATGTGAGCATTTGCCAAAAATATCTCTGTCGGTCCATTCTCCGACTTTGTGTGTGTGTGTGCGCGCTGGGGGGAGGCACTTTTTTTTGAGGGGGGGCGCCCGGGAGGTGTGGGCTTGGGGGTCGGACTGCACGCGAATGGCAAGGCTGGGGGGTTGCAATGCCATCCGAGCCTGTTCCGGCTGCCGCCGCCGCTGCCCTTGGTGTGTGACTACCTGTGCGTGTGCTCCCGCGTGTGCGAGTGTGGGTGCGAGAGTGTGCGTGCGAGTGTGCACCCATCGGGGGCCGGCGGGCGCACGCGTTTGGGTCGGAGAGAATGAGGCGAAATCACCCTCGGAGATCGCTGCTCCCGTGACTCCGTCTGGGGGGAAGATTAACGAGGGAGGAGGAGGAGAGGGGCTGCCTCCTGGATTTAACAACAAAAAAAGGGGGTTTTACATTTTATAAATGTATCCCCCCCCTTCCGCCCCCCTCCCGCGCCTCCCCCCTCCCTTTCTCTCGCTCGCTCGCTCGCTCGCTCGCTCGCTCGCACACACAATAAGTTTGAGGCTTCGCGAGTCCGGTTTAGTTTCTGATAAATGTGGGCCGAGGCCCCCGGGGAGAGCGCGTGGGGAGGGGGCTGCAGCGGAGTTGGGAATGGCTGGAGTTTAAAGTGCGTCTTCATTTCTTTGCAGTGATGAGGCGAGAGACGGGGGAGCCATATTTGTAACTTTGTAGTGTTCGTGAACGCGCCCTTTCTCTCCCTCCCTCCCTTTCTCTGCCTCCCTTCCTCTCCTCCTCTTTCTCCCTCACTCTTTCCACCCCACCTTCGGGCCAGATGCTGATGTTTCTTCCTTTCCTTCCGAAGGGAGGATAAATTAGAAGGAGGGGGAGGGATTTTCGAACGTGCAAAGGCACAGATAATCCCCGCGCCTCCCAGCCTCCAGCGATCGCTGGTGCAAGTTGCCCAAAGGCTACGTCCCGGTCCCCTCTCGCCCCAGCTCCTTCCGGCCTCCCCGAGATGCCAGCCTTTGGGCCCTGGTGGCCCCCCAGCTCGAACCCCCCGCCCGTCTTTCTCAGGGCTGGGCTCATCGGCAGCCATTCGGCGCCTGCTTAATAAATGGGCACGGGAAACTTTGTCAGGACGCGAGCTGCCCGGAGCTGGCGCCCGTGGTGGGTACAGGCTGGGTCCACGTTTATGCGGGCATGGCAAACACGCAGCTCTAGGATGGGAGTTTGCCCGCTAGCCGCCGTTATCGATTGGGCAGCGGCTGGAGCACGACCGGAGGAAACTTACACGGGTGGGAAACGCTAGGCTCGAGCGAAAGCCCACCCCCGAGAGGGGGAAGGTGAGGGTGGGTGACTCGAACGCTGGCTTTTATTTCTGCCTCTCTCTCGCTTTCGAACCTGAATGTTCTCGGCGAGTTGGCGGCCCTGGGGCGGAGACCCCGACCGACTCCCCTCTCGGCCCCTCGCGGGGACCGGGGACGCGCTGGCGGGAGGACTCCCCCAGCCTCAGCGGCCCGGGCTCCACGGAGTTGCGAGTTTGGGCAGCTCCTTGCACTGGCCTGTGGCCCCACCAGCCGGTTAAACCCGAATCCCGGCGAAGGCAGGCCTCGCTTCCTCTTTTCCCTAGTTCCTCCCCCAAACCTGAGTGAGACTTTTGAAAACAAGATCCTTTTTGTCTCCCCCCTCCCGCCTTAACGCAGCTGTGGACTGGAGACGTGCGAGTGCCTTATGGCGCGCAGGGCGGGGAGGGGGCGGCCGCAGGAGGGGAGGGGGCGCCGCCGGAGGAGGCCGGAGTTTCCGCGCACAATTTGCCGGCGGTTTGCCTCTCTGTCCGGCCGCTGTCGTCCCGGCCGGGACCCGGCGCCTCGCGTTTGGGGGCTGGGTGTGGTGGTGGGGGAGGGGGCCGGGGCCGCGGTCTTCCCGCGTACTTTCCGGAAGCCCCCTGCGCGGAGGGGGAAGGGCGCCGAGCGCGGGGCCGGGGGTCGCGGCGGGTGGGTGTGGGGGCGCGGCTGGCCTGGCGAACCCGACCTACGCCGCCGGCCCCCCGGGAGCGATCCGGAAAGCGGGTCGAACCGGCCCTTTAAACTTCCCCGAGTGTGTGTGCATTGGGGAGGGGAGAGCACCGCGCCGAACTGGGAGCGATTTCTCACGCTTCGCCCCCTCACCTCCCAGCCTCGCGGCCCACACGCCGGCCCCCTGCCTGGAGGCGGGGTGGGGCGCGGGTGGCGGAGGAGGGGGCACTTTCTGCACATTTGGGGGGGAGGGGGAGAGAGCTAGCGAAAGAGGGACAAAAGGGGTGGGGGAGGAGGAACTGTATTTTTTTTAACGTTCTTAAGACAAATGGCTCCCGGAGCGCGTCCCCTGCGCCCCTCCCCGCCGCGCTGCCCCCGGGTCCCCCGCACACCCACCTTCGGCACCTCTCCCAACTGGGCTCCGGGAGCTGGTGGCCATGCCGAGACGCCGAAATAGGACGAGCAGCCATGTTTCCCGGGGCTCGCGCCGCACGCCCCGCCCCTCCTCCCCGGCGCGGGGCGCGGGGCTCGGAATGCGGGCTCCGGGGTCCAGGCTGCGCGGGGCGCGGGCGGGCGGGCAGCTGGGGTGCAGTACGCGCGGGGCGGGCCCCGCGGCTTCCCGGGCTGGTTTCGAGCTCCAGATGTTTTGTTTGTTTTTTGTTTTTGTTTTTGTTTTTTCAAACGGCTAGGCCCACCCAGGGCTGAGCCCGAAGGGCGCCGAGGCGTTACTGGGGGGCGGGAGCCGTCGCTAGGGCCCTGCGCGCCTGTGGCACGACTGCCGGGCGCCGGGCTGCCATTTTGTCACCGTGGCTGTTGTCGCTGTGGGGGGCGGGGGGAGCGAAGTCTTGCGCCATCGCCCCGACGGCCTCCCGCGCGGGAGGCGGCGGGGGGGGGGCTGGCTTTGGGGACCCCCAGTTATGCTCTGAGCCCCGATGGGGGTTTCCGCCCCGAGCCAACGGCCTGAGGCTGTGCTGGAGCGTCACGGCGGCCGCGGCGCCGGGAGGACGACGATCCTCTGTGCAAGTGCCCCCCCACGCGCTCCCTGCCTCCCCCGCCCTCCTCTCCGGGGTTTCGCCGTTCCTCCTGCAGGCATTCAGACGTAGTTAAATGTGGCCTTAAGGACGCACCGATCGCTCTGGTGTTTGCTTTTTCGGCGGAAGTGATAGAGTGAGGGGAACATTAAATATGAGGTTCTTTCGGCGGGGGTGAGGGGTGTCGCGCGCGCGACTCTAGTGGCCCTGACTGAAGCCAAGGACAGCAGTCTCTTCCCCGGGAGGGAAGAGTTGTCGATGCGTTGGGAAACGCCCTCCCGGGCTGGGCTCTCCCAGAAGGTAGGTCGCGCTCCGTGTTTCAGGTGGATGTTGCAGAGCCCTGCAGGCTAGGGGAAACCCCCTTGGTCTTAACCTGCTCCTTCCCTCTTTTATTTTTGCCTGCAGGGAGGCAGCTACAATAGTAATGAGATCCTAAGCCGAAAGAGAGGGATGAAGGTTTGCTTTTGAAAAAAGTAAACCACCTTTCTCTGGCTGTTGACTCTGTAGCTAGGCAATTCGTCGCGTCGGGTTCTCCGATGCTGGCGTCTCTGGGACTTTTAAAAAGCCGATATAGGTGCTGGTTAAGCACCGCATGAGCTGAACTCTGGTATCTGTGCAGAGACTAACTTTCATGGCAGTGTCCGCCAGAGGCTGCCTTGGAAGCCAGATTTTCCTTTGACCTTTGGAATACATCGCATGATGTTTTCCAGGCTGACTTACTGCCTAATTGGGTTCAAGTAGCATGATATTAACTCCAGTTTATGCAAGCCAACCAGGAACTCGCAGGCAGAAAATTGAACCTGAGTTCCCATATAGTCATGGTCAGTTGAGTTCTGCTGCTGATAGTAGTTTAGAGTCTGGGGGCTCCATGGTGGTGGATGGTGGGCTTAGGAACCACACAGACCTGGGTTTGAATTCTCCCTGCCACAAGGAGGTAGCAGACGTTTGCCTGCCCTTGTGACCTTGGACTGGTGAGCTTAACCTGCCTTTTTGAAGCTTGGTTTATTTACCTATAAAATGGGATAATCTAATAGTAAATGATGACAAAACTGGCTTGATATGGCCTTCAGTAGATGCTATGTGACAGTGTTAGTCTCCGAAACATATCAGGGTGCTTTGAGGCATTACTTAGAGCTTCTCCATGGTTTAGGATGATAACAATATTAGCTAATGCTTACATAGCAACCAGGCTGTGTCTGGCACATTTCTAAGTGCATTACACGTATCAACTAATTGAGTCCCACAACAGCTCTATGAGGTAGGTATTATTATTGTCATTGTGCATATGGAAATTGAGGCCTACAGTTACGTGAACAGTGAGTGGCAGAACCAGGGTTCAAACTCAGCCAGTCTACTCAACCTCTATACTGCCTCCTTTGAAGCACCCTTTTTCCTTAAGATGCTGTAAGGAAGAGCTTTTTCTTCTCCAGCTTTGGAGTGGTGCCACCTGAGAAAAAGTGTCCTATTATTGAAGATACTGAAATGGAGTGGATAGCAAGCATCCTGGTTGAAGATAGTAGAGGGCCAGGAGGTTCAGAACCAGGGGCTCTGGATTATCATTTTGTGGGGGAAGCCATGCTCTGAGTTTGCTTTAGCACATCACCGTTGGTTAGGTTGAAGTGGATTGGCCTTTCAGGTGCTGGGGGACACATTTTGAGTAAGGAGAAGACGAGCAGGAGCTGCTCAGGCAGTCTGCATTCGCAGCCAAAAAACTCAGCGTAATTGGCATGTCTTTAGTATCTGGGACATAGTATACTCATAACACCTCATTGGATCATCTCAGTTAATCATCCCAGCAACTCTTTCAGGGTAGGCCAGGCAGTGCAGTGCCATCCCTGTTGTGAGGATGAATCATCTGATTTTTGGAGAGGTTAAGCAACTGGTAGGTGGCAGAGCTGGGTTCTCACACTGTAAAACCACAGGCCTCTTTGGTGGACAGAGACTTCAAGGATTGGCTAGTCCATTGGATCCCAAATGTGGCCCATAATGTAAAATGCAGATTCCTGGGCTCCGCCCCTGGTCACAGGAGTACCACAGCGATCATCAAACTGTAACTGAGCTCCCTGTTTCTGTTTGTGCAAGAATTATTTGTACATGTAAACATTGCAGTCAATTTGCTGGTATGGAACCCTGACTTTGAATCCCAATGACATGAAATGTTATTCCCCAAAAATAAGAATTCCGCTTGTCTCATTAGCCGATCTCATTGCAATAGAAAAAAATTGTACTCAATATATTCTCAACTTTTATCAATAAAGAAATTGTGGAAATGTGTTAGATTTTTCTCTTGTTATAAAAGTGCCTATGTAGTGTTCTCAATTTTGTCCCTTGATCAAGTTTATTATCTGCCCCCTTTGCAGAAAAGTTTTGCTGAAAAGGTGGTTCAGTAGATTGGAGAGTGGGCCTCTGGGATCTGGTGTTTTGCTTTGTTTAAGCAAATGGCAAGCCATATATTTGGGTGGTACTCTCAGGGTCTTTTTAAGGCCTTTTATGTCTGGTGTGCCCTTTAGGTAATTGGTGCCTAGTGGGAATCAGCCTCAACCCAGGAACCTCCATAGGAAGAGAAATTATCCTTGTTATCGATTTAGTACTAAGATGCTCTTAATCATCTAGAGCAGGCGTCCCCAAACTTTTTACACAGGGGGCCAGTTCACTGTCCCTCAGACCGTTGGAGGGCCGCCACATACTGTGCTCCTCTCACTGACCACCAATGAAAGAGGTGCCCCTTCCTGAAGCGCGGCGGTGGGGTGGGTGCCGGGTAAATGGCCTCAGGGGGCCTGCATGCGGGCAGGCCGTAGTTTGGGGACGCCTGATGTAGAGAATAGCCAATTGAAATTCATCATTGTGTACTCACAACATGTCAAAGCCTTCTGTGTATCTTATAGTTAAATGGCTACTCCTAAATTCTAGGTGTCATCTCAGAGATAGAGGGAAGGGTTGCAACGGTTAGTTAGAGCTTTAAGGCTCAAACCAAAGGTGGGCAGCTGTGCACCCAGTGGCTGACATCAGCTTCTCAGGGCCCAGATCTTTGAAAACGACAGATAATTGTGGAATCTCTAGTTTTGGCCTGCTGCATTTCCACCATGTGTGTTTCCCGGGGAATGAACCAGCAGCATAGTGGCTTTGAGTTTCAGAACACTATTTTTCCCTCTAGCCTCTTATACCTGAGCTAATGAATGGAAGGAATGGTTATAAAATTGGCCAGGTCAAGGGGAGGAGAAGATAAATTCAAGGGGACAAATCCTAGTCACCGTAACGGCAGCTGTGTTAGGACAGCAAATCAGAGTTCCAGTTCCTGCTCTCATGCCGATGCTGCACCACCAGCCTCTGAAGGTGACTTATTCTAGACTTACACAGTTGGCCATCCTTCTGTTCTTTGTTGTTTTTTTCTTTCCCCTTTCCTGTAGCAGTGAGGCTTGTTTCCTTTTTTATTTATTTATTTTATACTTTTTGTAGAGATGTGGTTTTGCCATGTTGCCCCGGCTGGTCTCAGAATCCCCAAAGCGCTGGGATTACAGGTGTGAGCCACTGCACCTGGCCCCTTTCTTCAGTACCATTGCAAATACACCTGATTGAGCTTTCAGAGCTGGCCATCCCAGAGCTTGAGTCCAAATTGATTACATAACATTGAAATAAAGAACTTCATGGAAATTGTGTAGCATACTCTTCAGACATCTCATGCCTTTTCTATCTTGGTGCAGTCACTTAGGAAAGGAGCAGAGATCTTGGCGATTGGGCCGTGGCCCAACTGTCTGGCCTGAGTTCTAACTTGGTTTAAGAGGAGGCTCATAGCTCTGGTGTCCAGAGAGGCATTCCTTTACAAATGTTTGCCACCAGGATCTCTCCTCCCTGTTTTGGCAGTCTGTCCTTTGCTCTACCTAGTTGTCTAGTCTCTTAGGAACTACCTTCTCCCAGTCTCCCAGCATCACTGCCTTCAAGTGAATAGGGAAACATGGACTTGACTCTGAATCTTCTAGTGCTTTGAAATACAATTATGCGGCCAGGTGCAGTGACTCACACCTGTATTCCCAGCACTTTGGGAGACCGAGACTGGCAGATCACCTGAGGTCAGGAGTTCAAGATCAGCCTGACCAATGTGGTGAAACCCCGTCTCTACTAAAAATACAAAAGCGGCTGTGCGTGGTGGCACATGCCTGTCGTCCTAGCTACTCAGGAGGCTGAGGCCGGAGGATCATTTGAACTCAGAGTTGGAGGCTGCAGTGAGCTGAGATGGCACCATTGCACTCCAGCCTGGCCAACAGAGAGAGACTCTGTCTCAAAAAGAAAAATGTAATTATACAACAAATGATAAATACGCAACAATGATGTTTTCATTAAAGAGATGGAGTCTGGCAGGAACGGAGATTTGAGAAGGCATCTGTTATTCACAATTTCTCATTTAATAAAATTTGTTGAAACTAGATGAGCAGAGCACCATGGCCCTGAGCCACCTTCTCAGACATGGAAGCAGCCTCTTTGTCCAGAACTAGTTGTCCAGATGATACACTGACTCCAAAGAAGATAAAAATGCCTTTTTTCTACCACATCAAGCCCTGTCCTGGGCCTGGGCCACACCCTGCAATGCCCTGCTTTTCCTCAGATTTATTTTGTTTTAGCTCCACAGCTGCCCACTGAATTCATTCGGCTACTGTTTCCTTTACCAAAACTTGCTCTAGGCAGCAGATCTAAAAGATCGGCTTACTACTCCACTATTATTTACTCTAATGTGGATTAAAGTCAGCACTGCTCTTCCCAGAGGTATTTACATTTGGAGATTCTGGTTTGGTGAGGAAATTACCAGAGAACTATTAAAGACTTGGATGCCGTCCTCGGCTTTGTTGTTAACTAAGTTGGACAAGCTGTTTGGCTTCATGGGGCCTCTGTTTTCTCCATTCTAAAATGAGAGTGTTGAATGAGATCAGTGGCTTTCAAACTTTCTGATCCTGATAGTAAGAAATAATGTTTTACACCACTAGCCAGTAGGTCCACGCATTCCTGTGCTCTGAAAAACTAGCAGCATGCTCCTCCCTTCCTACACGTAAAACTTTCATTCATTAAAAAGAAAACTGGCTTGGACCTACAAATTAGTTTCATTACTTGTTAATGTTTGAAAGACATTAAAAGAAGGATATTAAGGTTCCTTCGTACTCGATACTTGTGGTTTGCTTGGGAGGAATGAGAGGATGCCCTTGGTAACTGTGAGGTCTCTCCACTGAGGGTCAGTCATGACTTCTCCTGTTTTAAGTCAGCCCACTCCGTCTTCTCTAGCTGCTCTTCTTATATCTTGCTCGTCTTCCCTC